TGAATGTTACAAATGTTCTTTCACCGAGTAACAAGATTTCAGTCAGAGCATGTAAAAACATACTTACAGTATTGTATGTAGTACACAATTTCAGCACAATTTCTGGTCTCTCCAAATAGCAGCAGTATTTTCTGAATGTTTTATTTATTTATGTTTCCTTCCAAATAAAATTATTTGAGGTTGTTATCTACTTTTAGCTTATGTGCACTTACTCAGCAGTATATTAAGAAAAAGAAGCTTGTTTCTCCTGGCCAGGTGCCCTACCTGTTTTGCCCAGGAATTACTAGATACTTATCCAATCTCATTTTTTAAATAAACAATGAAAAAGGAAGACATTGAGATGGCTATTGTCCAGTACATTGTATGCATAGGGCTATTATGCTATTGACATTTAAAGAAACTTTTAAAACATTGTGGCACATATTGACTGATGGTGTGGAAAAGCCTCAGGGAGTTCTCAAAACATTAAAATGTCATGTGGGAAAATCACCCTTGGTTCCCTGTGTAATAAAGTATTAACAGAAAGGACTGCTGATTATATTCTCCAACAGAAATTTAATTGTACATATTTTTTGCATAAAGAAACTACATTTTGTGTTTTTTTAAGTTTATAGCACTTTTGATCTAATGATTTCATGCTAAAAACATTTTTATAATAATCAGACACTTCCTATACTATAACTAAGTTTCACATGCTGTTAATGAAGATATTAACAAAGTTAACTTAAGTTGCATTAAGCTTTTAAAAATATAACTATTTTACAACTTCAAAACTGTATTAGTAGCTCGATGTATCTAGAACTTTTGCATGAGCAGGATTCCCCAGCTGCTTTTCAGAAGTAGATTCAATTGAATTACTAGATGCTACCTCAAGAAAATCAGTAGCTGTATTTTCCTATAAGTATCTGCACCATTATTATTAAAATATGGTTAATGTTTTAATGGTTCAATTGAGTTCCTTTCAGAAAACTCAGCACAGTGCATGCACAGCCTCACAACAGCTTTGCAAGGAACTCCCAGGCAGCTTCAAGAGATTTGAATTTGGGATTTCTCTCATCTTAGGCCAAATAGTGCAGCTTGACTTAAGGATCAAACGCCAGGACCAAAGTTTAGAATTGCAAAGCCCCCAGAAAATGATAAGGGGCAACAAGAAAGACAGACTTGTTCTAAAATGGGAAGAAATTTCATAAACATATGGATCTGCTGGTGAAATGGAAAATTAAAACAATTAAAATAAATAAATATCCCATCAGATATCCCAAATCTCTGAGTATGCTTTAAAGCAGCTCATTGGATCCCAGTCTATTCCTACATTTTTGTTTCTATATTTTATGCTTTTTATCTGCAAGGAAGATTATATGTAATTGTTCAAAATGCATAAATAACATTGTGCAGAAATTATTCTGACCTCATCAGCTGCTCACTGCATTTGGGCCTATTTGAATATTCCAGATAATCATTGAATGATCTAAATCAGTGATTCCCAACCTTGGGTAACCCAGGGTTCTTGAACTTCTACTCCCAGAAATCCTGACTAGATTAGCTGGTGGTGAAGGCTTCTGGGAACTGCAGTCCAAAAACACCTGGGTTATCCATGGCTGGGAATCACTGATCTAAAGAATTAGAACTACTGTAGAGTGTTTCCTAATGGACACCTTTTATCTGAGTTACACAATCAGTTGCTAATGTGACATTATATTATATTGTAACTGAAACATGCTAGATTTGGATGACTTTATCTTACTAAATAGCCCATGATGGCTGCGTGTCAAGGTAGAATGAAACTTGTTTTTTCAAGAAGCATCAGCACCTAATTATGGGCATGCACACACATACAAAAGAAAGCTTGAAAATTACAGCCAGAAATCTAAACAAATTCTAAACTCTGACACCATCAAGTACAGTATTGACTCAAATTAAGTACTGAAATGAATTATCCTGTTATTCTGCTTGTGATATGTGACAGCATGGCATCAGAAAACATTTTTATATGCAAATTATTTTATGTCATGCTTGGTATTTTCAAAAGGTGAGACCTTGAGTTGAGACAGCTCAACAAAAAGATTTGGTTATACTGTATTAGTAGCACAAAACCCTATCTATGTTGTTTCTGATTCTTGGGGGGAAATTGCTTACATTTCAGATTACAGTTAAATTTGCAAACTTCCTTTCCTCACCACCTATTTCTGAGGTAGAAGGAAGGGCTTCTGTAACTTTATATGTTCTCTGGCTGGTAAAAATTAATAAGGTAAATGTCACTGAAGCTCTGTATTGTGAAAAGTTTCATCCATATAACTGAAACACGTGTAAGAAACTTCTCTGTCAAAAGGGCAAACAGTCTTGTGGCATCTTAAAAACTCACAGCTTTTATTTGATACAAGTTTTTGTTTAACCATGCTTTACAGATGCATCAATATGCAGATGCTAAATGAAACATGTTGGTCTTTAAGGCATCCACAATTCACAGTAGTTTTTGCTGCAGCAGACTAATACAGCTACCCCACCTAGAATCACCTGATCTCTTAGAAAATGAACAATGTTTGTGTATTAGGTACTACAGTCCATTATATCTTCTAGGGTGTTGTACAACTCTATTTTACAAAAAGTAGCATTAATAGTTACCCAAGCCGCCTAGAGAGGTCTTATATGACTAGATAGGTGGGATATAAGTTTTTGCTGCAGCAGACTAATACAGCTACCCCACCTAGAATCACCTGATCTCTTAGAAAATGAACAATGTTTGTGTATTAGGTACTACAGTCCATTATATCTTCTAGGGTGTTGTACAACTCTATTTTACAAAAAGTAGCATTAATAGTTACCCAAGCCGCCTAGAGTGGTCTTAAGTGACTAGATAGGTGGGATATAAATAAAATACATAAAATAAATAATAAACAAATGAGTGAGAAAACTGCATGACACACTGCAATCACTGATGTAAACACCACAAAAGATAAGCAAATCTAAATCATGTCTGCACTGCAGTGTTTTGGGGCAGATAATCTTGAATAAAACTAAGATCATGGCCAATAGTCCCATCACCTTTTGGCAAATAGAAGGTGACAGATTGGAGGCAGTGACAGATTTTACTTTCTTGGGTTCCATGATCACTGCAGATGGTGACAGCAGCCATGAAATTAAAAGACGCCTGCTTCTTGGGAGGAAAGTGATGACAAACCCAGACAGCATCTTAAAAAGCAGAGACATCACCTTGCCAACAAAGGTCCACATAGTCAAAGTATGGTTTTTCCAGTAGTGATGTATGGAAGTGACAGATGGACCATAAAGAAGGCTGACCACTGAAGAAGTGATGCTGTTGAATTGTGGTGCTGGAGGAGACTCTTGAGAGTCCCCTGGACTGCATAGAGAACAAACTTATCCATTTTGCAGGAAATCAACCCTGAGTGCTCACTGGAAGGACAGATCCTGAAGCTGAGGCTTCAATACTTTGGCCATCTCATGAGAAGAGAAGACTCCCTGAAAAAGCCCCTAATGTTGGGAAAGTGTGAACGAAAGAGGAGAAGGGGACAACAGAGGATGAGATGGTTGGACAGTGTTACTGAAGGACCAATATGAATTTGACCCAACTCCGGGAGGCAGTGGAAGACAGGAGGGCCTGGCGTGCTCTGGTCCATGGGGTCACGAAGAGTCGGACATGACTTAACAACTAAACAACAATCTTGAATATACTGCATTAAGTACTGTACATTGGATCTCTGCCAAACATATCACAATGTGCTGAGATATATCTGACAGTGGGATCATGCAGTGATTAAACTTGACAAAGGCCATATCATGGGAAGATACAAAAAGCTTAGCATACAACAATATCATGAACAGCCTCCTTCAAACTCTTTCCTGCCTTGCAGGGATGGATGAATCAGTTCAATCCCAAACTGGTTTAATAATTTCAAACTTTTTCTGTGAGTGTCCAACTTTGTTTTCACTATCTGTTTTCCAGCACTTTCCCCCATTTTGTAAAGCTGGTGTCCACATACATGACTGTGGAGACCTGGAACATATATCTGGTCATATTCCTCTTCTGGGTCAGGGACAGCCATGGTGGAGAAACACTGTGAAATTAAGTCATTGCCCAGTCAAACAAATCCAAGAATAAAAGAGGTATTCTGATGAAGACAAGAAATCTACAGCTAGAGTATCTCCCAATGTATTCCTTCAAGTTCAACCTGAAAACCTTAGGGGAGGGGGAACCTGCCCTTCCAGCAATTGAAAGAACAACCAAACAAAAGGCATCTTTAGGTGGCCTGGTCATGAGGGTCAGCCGAAGACATTTGTGCTGCTTGAGACAATGGACAAAATGACATTTCATCCTTCACAGCCTATACAGAAGATCACTGGACTGCCGACTAGATCTTCGGTCAAATATTGATGAGGGGGCAGCATCATTTGCTACACACGGTTGTTTTAAATGGATTATTTGCTCTGTTAGGGAAATGTTACGGGAAAAGGTCGAGGAATGGCGAGAGAGAAAAAATCACATTAGTAAACGTGAAGTGACGGATAAACACGGTCCTCATTTCCTAGCCGGGAAGGCGAGGGAGTACACCGACTTGGCCAGCACGAGACCCAAAAAGTTCAACAGTCACTACCAGCATCCTCCTAAAGCAGCCACCGGGGCGACGCCTGCCTAGGCTTGCCGCCTCGTCCCTCCTCCTTCCCTTCTCCCCCTTCCCCGAGGAGGCGGCGCGACCAGCCTCCGCTTTCCACTCCTGGACCCCTCTTGGCACATGGAAAGCGCCGCGCTCGCTGTGCCAGCCGCCGCCGAGGGAGCAGAGGCCCCCGTGGCAGACACTGGCCCGCCGCTTCTCCTGAGGCGCCCCCTTCGTTTCCCGCCTTAGGCTCCCTGCCTCAGCCCTTGCCTGCCTGCGCGCCCGCCCGCCCGCTCCACCGCCCCGCGCGCTGCCGCTTGCCCTCCTCTCTTCGGCTTCCTTTGTGTTTGTGACGGGTAGCTGAGGCGAGGCGGAGGAGGAGGAGGAGGTGGAGCCGCTCGCTGTCTCGCTTGTCAAGACTGAGCCGCTCAAGCGAAGAAGGGAGGGGAAAAAGGCGAGGGAAGGGAGCTGGTGGGGCGGCTCTCTTCGCCGGGAAGCCTCTGTTCCACCAAGAGCAGAGAAAGGACCTGGACGCAGCGCTGGGCCCTTCTTTGGGCAGCCAAAGCGGCTTCTCCTCGCCTCGGGAAAGGCGGGAAAGGGCGCACACGAAGCGGGGACAGCAGCGCCTTCTTTGGCTGAGCCTTCAGCAAAGCCCGGGCGGCGGCTTTTGCTCCTCCTGCTGCTGCTGTTTTGCTCAGCGCGGCGCCAACACTTTGCCATGGGGTGGGGGCGTCCGCAGCAACCGGACAGCAGAAGCAGCAGCAGCAGCAGCAACACCTGGGCTAGTCACTAAAGAACCCGAAGGAAGGAGGATGGCCACATCCAGCAACTCCAGTTTGTCTGGCTCTTCAGTTTCCTCTGGTAAGTTGAAAACCTCTTACTCCCCGCCCCGTGCCAGGATTTTCCCCATCTCTTGGCTACCTCTCACTTCTTCCAGACAGTCCCACCTTTCGTTTATCTGTAGCATTAAAAAAAAAAGATTAAAGAGGAACAAGGCGGTGATGATCTCTCCCTGTCAAGTTATTTTTATTCTCTCTTTGAAACGCACAGATCTGAATCTTTGTGGAAATGCTTTTATTCCACCGCTCAAGCAATAAGGGCAGGACAGGTGGGAGGGGAATCAGCAGAGGTGGATGTTTTCTTTTCTTGACATCTGTGAAATTGTGTTGGAACAAAGCTGGGAAAAGTCCATCACTCTAAATTCTTGTGTTTTCTATTGGATCCTGAAAGGTTACTAAACTCAAACCTAGTAGTATTACGTGATTCATGAATGGAAGGTGTCAGGGTTAAACCCCTGACGCTTACCAATGCACACACAGGTCAAGCCTGAAGATGAATGAATCACATGCTTGTTTAATCCTTTATTCGTGTGGATCAGTGTAAAATAATTGGAGTATTGACAGTCTCTAAAAATATGTGTGCTTGGCTGAGCACTGTATCCCAAGTGTGATTATACCTGTTTAGTTACCAAGCTCTATAGAGCATACCGTGACTCTCTTGAGAGACCCAGTTTTACCGTCTTTCCATTGTGTTAGCCTGTGACATGTAATGATAGTTTTCATACAGGGCTGTGTCTGTCTTATAGCTGACTTATGGCAGTTCCTTGATTGTAACACCTGGTTGATGACTAGCAGCGATCAATGTGAAACACTGAGCTTTTGACTTCAAAGGAAGACAAGCCTTAACAGCATTCTTTCCTTCTTTACTGTAATATCTGAGTAGCATGAAAGAGAGAGATGTTACCAGATGAGCTTGTAAACATTTTCTCAAAAGGCAAAGAGGATAGACCTTTGACCTTGTTAGTTTTATACCAAATGCACCCTTATTTCCTGTCCATGTTTAGTTTACTGTAAATTCCATTGTGTTAGGTGGGCTTGCTCCCTTGTAAGTGTAGCTAGGACAGCTACCCAACTGAAATATGTTCTCTTATTCCTTTGAATATTGCAGTTGAAAAGGTACAGTAAAGAATCCAGTGCACCTGCTTTAAAAACCTATAAAATTAGACACAAACAATTCCTTTATGTAAAGCTTTACATTTTGTGCTAGTAGAGAGCCTCAACGTATCAGCAGACTGGATGCAATTCACTATATGTGTATATACCAAGATAAAGACTAAAATCCTGTTGTGCAGCTACACCTGCATAACTCAAGGTTGCACCCATAGTAGTTGCACTTCTGCCTGTCCCAGAAGTACTTCTGGTGGTGCATTGCAAGGACACATGACCAATTGCACATTTACACAGCACAATTCCTTGTTGCTGGGCATAACATACAGCACACTTACTGTATGGTGGCGTAACTTCATGTTATGGCCCAATAACTTTTAAAACTACTAAAATCTGATTGATCTTCCCTATCCAAAATAGTGAGCTTATATTTTAATCGAAAGTGTAATCCACATTTAAGTTAAGGCTCTGGAAGGCACATTTTGGAATGCTAGAGGTTTCTTGTTCACTTTGTGAGACTGAGTAGCAGAACCTGAATCTTAAATTGTGCAAAAGTCAAGACTTTCAAATCAAAAAGCCAAAACTTTAGTTTTGTTAGTTTTGATATATCATTTATATTTCTGAATCCAGATGTAGTATATATTGTTCACAACTATAGCACTGACAGATGCCTTCTGCCTTTATGTAATCTCCATCCTTTTCTCCCATCACAAAATAAAGAGCTACCGTTGACAATCAAATCAGTGGCCACTCATCACGTGCCCTCTTGTTTCCTAGGATTGTACTGTTGGAGAAGCTGGCAAGTAAATCTGTGGGCTGGTATGTGCAGAATGCATATTCCACTTATATCCTCTTTATAACATGCTCAGGAGATTTCTTAATGTATGTGCACATCTATAGACATGCAGGACATTTACAGGAACATGTTGCTGATGGGTGGTGTGGTGGAATTGGTAATAATAGGCATTACATATTTTGTATACTGCACATATTGAACAAAAAAAAGGGAGACTAGCTCTGGAACATTTCGTGAGGGCATGATTTAAAATGCTAAATCTCTATGTTGCAATAGCTGTAGCTACATGTTTGCGTTTCATAATCAAGCTTATAACTCACAGTGAAGAGTATAGTAACAATAACAATAAACTTTTAAAAATCTTGGGATAAACTTTTATGGTGGTCATGTGCTTCATAAGTGCTCATCAGCATGAAACATGGAGCAAAATGACAAGAGAGAATTCCAGTCTTTGAGGTATTTATTTATTTTAAAAAACCATCTGGGAATCTAGGTGGCATTGCACTGTAGGGCTTAAGGTTTTATTTAATTTAGAATGCTCTGACATACTAAAAATTAATTAATTGCAGTTAAAAGATTCAGTTTCATCTAACTCCTAAAGATTACTTAAGATCATTATTTTTCCAAGAATTTTAAATTGTGGAAATATGTTTTAAGGTACACTTAAATGGGAAGTGTATGATTTCCCCATTGTGTCCAGGCCTTGTGCTTCCAGTTATTCATATGGAATTCTTTCTGACTTTTGACAATATCTGCTGTGGTTGAAGAGAGTCCAATAAAATATAAAATGATCATATCTATTTCTTATTCTTTTAAGTTACAATATCAGTATTTCTCTCTGCAGCAAAATTTCCAGTATCTGTGAGTCCAGTGTATCTGACTCCGCGTGCAGCTGTAGTTGGCCGTCTGTGGTTTTTGTTCTGCAGAACTCAGCAAGTTTAGGAGCATTTTCTAATAGCATCTAACCACAGAGTCCAGTTTTCAAAAATGAACAGCTGTAGCATATTTGGGGTTTTTTAAAGAATAATTTTTGCAAATGATATATAATTATTTCTGTTTGTTTGACTTTCCATCACAAGGTCCTTGCAAAAGGAAAAAGACACATGATCTGTAAATAACAGTACATAATCAACACAAAGTACTGCTGCAACTATTTTTATTAGGACTTTGCTCGATAGCACATGGTATGTACTCAGGGAAGCCTGAATTAAGAAAAGGTAAGATAGCTAAGGTAAAACATTGGGACATCTTCCCCACATGCAACCTAGGCAGGAATGCAAAATGTGCCACAAGAGGTTGTGTCACGTATTAATAATGTTTTGCTAAGATTTGGAATAATTAAAGATGCTTTCTGTATAGTAGATTAAAAGTCATATTTGTTAGGAAGCTGAAATCAGCAGATCAGACAGAATGACTTCTTTTTGACTCTGTGCCAGCACCCAAACACAGTAAAGTATATTACCTTACTGCAAGCAGAAGAGGAAACAAGACTGTTTATTGCTGATTGGAATACTAGCCAGCAAAGGTGTGTTTTATGACATAGCTTTTGCCCCATATTCCTTGGACTTAAAAGCTGTAAAGGCAATAAAGGCTGGGAGAGGCTTTGAGACACTAACTTGTGACTCTTCTGATGAATTAAAAGGAAAGAACTTTAACTCAGTGGTAGAATATGTGGGTTGGATGCAGAATGTCTAAAGTTCAGCCCTTGTCACCTCTTGTTAAATAGATCATGTGGAAACTGATGGGACCCACCTTTTCAAGAGACCATGTGGCCAGCCACTGTTAGTTAACAGTAGGCAGTTATTAAGCCTGCACAGCCTGGTCTGGTACAAGGAAACTTGGTATGTGCATGTATTAGGTATGTGCAGCAGATTTTGCCTTGACACTGGATATAGTACTGAGGTGAACAGTCGGATTCAGCCAAATGGTGGCAACATTTGTGGTCCCCATAGTCAATGGGGCTTTGGGAACAATATCAAGAAATTTCATACAGTTTTATAAACAGTTCCAGATCTCAGAAATAATACCATCAGAGCTATCAAAAATGGCAATATTAGGAACAGCATAGATACTGCTCTGATATTTAACAGATACTTAGGTGTCACGTGACAACGGAAACTGTCTTTAGACAAGTGCTGGCTCTATGGCTTGAAAAGAGTCGGACACGACTGGACTAAAAAATGTCAAGGGGAACCTTTTCCTTTTACTGTATCTATTATATAATACCAGTCATCGTTTCTATAATTTTGATTGTGTCTGGTATGTTTGAATAATAACAATAACAACAACAACAACTAAAACAACAACAACAAGAACAAGAACAACAACATGCTGTCAATTTAGGGCAACTTTCCAGAGTTTTCCAGGTAGAGAATACTCAGAAGTGGCTTGCTATTGTCTTCTTCTGGTAGCTCTATGGAACTGTGCAGCCTGCCCAAGACCACACAGGCTGGCTGTTCTCCCTGGAGGCCCAGTGGGGAATTGAATTACCAACCTCTGACTCTGCAGCCAGATACATAATCCGCAGAGCTCTCCAGCCAGCCATTTATGTAATAAGTAGCAACTGAGGGTTTCTGGAAGTCTGTGTTCCAAAACTAATTGTATCATTTCTTTCTCCCGAAATTATTCCACTGTCTCCATGCATTGCAAATTACAGTGGATAGATAGTTTTTCATTTCTAGGAATATTTCAGTATTACATAGCGTGAAGCTTTTTGGAATATAAGTCAAATATTCTGATAGTATAAAATTAAATAGTGTGCCTCTGGAAAACCTATTTATATGCCTCCACTTATATATTGCTATCTGAAGTGCAAAATGTTTTCTTCCCAAGCCTGTTGTTATATAGTAATTATTTTGATGGTTTGTGCATTAGGAATCCTCAGAGGAGTATTACTGTTTTACTGCTAGACTTCAGAGAAGTACATATGCTTTGGAAGTATATGGTAGGCCATGACTGACTTCCACATAAGCTATTATTTTTAATTATTATTTTTATTTATTCAATTTATATTGCACATTTCCTCCCAAGAGCTCAAGGTGACTAACAAGTCTTGGATATGTGCGACTTTGGAAAAAAATGTTACCTTTGTTTAAACAGTTAACTTTGTTTGCTGATTC